CTCCTGCTGCAGCGTCTCAGCGAGGAGAAACAGGAGGAGGTGCAGCGTCTCAAGGAGGAGAACCAGGAGGAGGTGCAGAGTCTCAAGGAGGAGAAAAAGGAGGAGGTGCAGCGTCTCAAGGAGGAGAACCAGGAGGAGGTGCAGCGTCTCAAGGAGGAGAACCAGGAGGAGCTGCAGCGTCTCATGGAGAAGAACCTGCAGGAGAAACAGGAGGAGGTGCAGCGTCTCAAGGAGGAGAAACAGGAGGAGGTGCAGCGTCTCAAGGAGGAGAACCAGGAGGAGGTGCAGCGTCTCAAGGAGGAGAACCAGGAGGAGGTGCAGCGTCTCAAGGAGGAGAACCATGAGGAGGTGCAACGTCTCAAGGAGAAGAACCTGCAGGAGAAACAGGAGGAGGTGCAGTTTGTAGTTCTCTGAATCAGCTGTTTGTAGTTCTCTGAATCAGCTGTTTGTAGTTCTCTGTAACAGCTGTTTGTAGTTCTCTGTAACAGCAGTTTGTAGTTCTCTGTAACAGCAGTTTGTAGTTCTCTGAAACAGCTGTTTGTAGTTCTCTGTAACAGCAGTTTGTAGTTCTCTGTAACAGCAGTTTGTAGTTCTATGTAACAGCAGTTTGTAGTTCTCTGTAACAGCTGTTTGTAGTTCTATGTAACAGCTGTTTGTAGTTCTATGTAACAGCTGTTTGTAGTTCTCTGGTGGAGGGATTATATCTCTTCCTGGCCTGGGAGCACCTTGGGATCCCCCAGTCAGAGCTGGTTGATGTGACCAGGGAAAATAACATTTGGGGCTCTCTGCTGGAACTGCTACCTCCGCGACCGTCACCCGACCACGGATAAACGGGAGAAGATGGATGGATTTAATACATTACTGGAATGACACGTACAAATGTACCAAACTGAATAGTTCATAATGCGATAAAAAAATGTCTTCATAATTAATATTGTAACAATGTCAAACATCCTAAAAAATGTAATAGGACGGGGCATAATACAACAGGCTTAATTAAACGGAGTGCTTAAACAATTGTCAAAAATGATTTACAAGGCAGTGGACTTGGACTGCGGCAAAACACAAGTCAATTTTCATTTAATATTTATCAGCATAAACTGGCCCTGGCAAAAATAACATGTTGAAGAAAAAGCATTTCATAGTCTAATGTTTAAAGACATGCTAGACAACAATACTCACATTTAACATGACTTAAAGTTACTGCTGTTTACTTCTAAATGTTTACTCTGTGGTGTTACTACTTTTATTCTGCACAAGATCTAGGTATCGTGTCCACCGCTGCATTAACATTTATTATTGTTTTTAAAGTATAGGAATATGTATTTGATGTAATGAAGAGCAATTTAAACTGTAGTTTCCTTGTTTGATGTTATCTTTTTTTTCCTTCATAACAGGGTCATTCATTTAAAAGCCCTAAACAAATCATTATTTAAATAAACCCATGTGACACTCATTAGAGCAATTATGCACTGATTTAAGACCAAGTTAATGCCCTACCAAGTTGTAACTATTTTAAACAGACAGTCATTTGCATTGAAAGATAATGAGGACAAACCACAGCGTGAAAAAGGGCTAATCACTCAAAGACGCTTTACTTTATTTTTTAACGGAGATCGTAGCGACACCACGTGGATCAAGAGACAACCTACACTCTTTCACACTGTGATGGAAGAGCTAAGCCAGCAGCACATCAATTATGTATGTAGAGCTTGAGAGTGAATCAAGATTAGCTTCCAAGGTCATTAACATGAATCATTGGAGACTGAGTCACATGTAATTGGTCGACTAGACAACGGCATCTGAAAATACAAACAGGGTAAATTAAATAAATTATAATATTGGATATACAAAAACAAAAACATTGGGTCCCATTACTTAATATTAAATGAATGACATATGTATGACTTTCTGGCCACAAATGGTAAAAGTTTTTAGACGGTTGTTTATATTCATTATGACAATTTTACAAAAACTGATTTTGAGGAAGTTAAATAGTTTATAGCATTTAGATTTATTAAATAATTGTCCATCTCCATTTACCCCTGCAGCTGACTTGTATGTATTGCCACCTTGTGGACAACTGCAAGAAATCGACATGGTGCTAATTTATGAAAGATGAATGAAATAGCAATAAGAAGAATAACATTTCTATACTCCGTAGCCTCAAGATTTGTTCTCTTCTGTATGATATGCTTCTTATTATGATTGAATATTATGATTACTCTAGGACAGGTAAACTACAGTGTTTCACATTTAGGGCAAGCCATTGTAAGCACCACGGTTGTTGTTGTTGTTGTTGTTGTTGTTGTTGTTGTTGTTGAAGAAAGTTCAAGGCAGATGCAATTATTTTACTTTTTAAAGAGCTGGAGGTGATAGCAAGTGGTTTTCTATCTCCTTCCGCCTTTATTACCATTGCATATTATGGTACCCATAAGATGAATATTAATGATCTTGTGGACATAACATTCTCTACTCTAGGTTCAGTCTCTAGTTAAAGGTTATCACATTCATGCCCCTAAGAGGATAAATCCTCTCCTTTTCTAATTACCTTCTCCTCTAGTGTTCAGCTGGTTTGGCTTTTGACTAGTATGACACCTTGCATAGCACACATTTAACTAAAATGAATTATACCTACCATGAAAATTGCTATAACTGTATTGTCCTTGGTGTAAATAGTTACTGGGATGCAGATTTAATAACAAAAGGGGGCAGGGAGTTGTGGCACTTGGCACTGGCTAATAGATTTGGATCAATATAAATTCCTGTGTCCCACATGGATTTCTCAGCAGTATGAGCTTTAACAAATGAGCCATATCTGTTCAACTCAAAGATTTCGCTCATAAAACTTATGAGTCTCCTCTGTCGGGTGACCAGCTGTCAGCACATTCACAAAAAACTTAACAGAGACAAAGCTCTCAGGGAAACACAGCCCCCAAAGTGTCCCAGCTGCTGGCCACAGTTTATCTGCTTCATTGGAACGTGTTGAAAGTGTGTGTGGGTTGGGGTGTGTATTTAGGACAATGAAGCCTAACTTCATCCTATTACCTAAGTTGAGAACTACAGAAACAGTCTATCAGTCCTTCGCTGGTTGAAAGATTCAGAAAGCTCTTTTCATCAGGGATAAAATGAGCTTGGCAACGAATGACTGGGAGTTTTGGCTTTCCTCTCAAGGTCAGACACGCTTTGAGGCAGGCATTTTTGTTTTGCCCACAGTCTGGGTACATTTCAGAGGGCAGGCTAGGGAGATAATTCAGCCACAAACTGAAATGCCAGTACACTGATTTATTCTGAACTATATCCACAGTCATACCCTAACCTTCAGATGCTTAATCATTCTCATATTTATATCATCATTTCTTTTTTAAGGCCTGATCAAGCACTTGTGTCAGTGAAATGATAATTTCCTCTAAAAACTGAAATGATTTGGCATTAATGTAATATCAACATGATTGCCATTGTTGTGTTCTCTTGTGTGCTCACATTGCATTGAAGGGCTGTTTCCATGGCAGCTCTTAGTTGGCAGATACAATCTCAGCACACTGTCAAATATCTTTATTTTTACATCATTTTGTGTCTTCATTTGTTGTAGATAGTCGACGCTGAGTTGTTGTCAGAAGAGCCTTAAATCTGCTATTTTGCTGGAGCCATTCTGAGATGATGAGCGATTTGTGATGCTGTCCATTATGGTTTCCATGGAAAAACTGTACACATTAAGTATGTCCATCTGCAATGAATATTTCTTTTTAAACACACCTGTACACTGAAATGTGGCTCCCTCAGGTGGAAAGGCTGTGGCCATTTCTCAATGTCGAGTAAACCTGCTGCAGAGCCACTATTTCAAGTATACTACGTCATCGAGTGGCGCCAAAAGGACTGTTTAAATGCATGTTAAATGCCCAGCATTCAGCGCCACTTGATGACGTAGTATACTTGAAATAGTGGCTCTGCAGCAGGTATACTCGACATTGAGAAACGGCCTGTGTCTTGACAACATTTTGTGTAACGTCAAAGGTCATCTGGCAGGTTCATTTCCACCTGTAAGAGTTGCTGTATATTTCTACAACATTTACACAAATGCTGTTCTATCATACTGTACATTTCTCATGCTATCACTACTATTTATTTCAACATGAGGCGAACAAACAGGAAATGAACCATATTGTTTACATTTATATTCTGTGAACATTCTGTGTTTTTGTAAAGGCTTTTTTATAGGAATGGGCTATTGAAAATTGTAACTCTATTGTCTTTGTCCATATTAAATTAAATAAACTTCTCATTCAGAGGCAGCAACTGTCAACAAGTGTAGTTTAATATGTTGTATAAGTTCTATATTGTTGTTGAGATTGCATTATTTAGCTGTATTTGAAAGTTGAACGGAGGATGTGTCTCTTTCGGTATTTAACAATGACATGGATCAACCTGAAGGGGGTGTTATAATAACAGGCTTCTTTTTTTTTCTTTTTTTATAAATAAATCACAATATATTTAATTAAATAAACTAACTTATAATGAGGGGATATATATATATATATATCTATAACAAAACACCTGCCTATGGATTGGCCTATTATAATTGAAGGACCTAAATATTTGGACATTAACAAAAATTTAAAAAACTATATTTGTGTGAATGGTTTAAATGATAACATAGAGTTTCACTTTACCTATCATCATATATATATATATATATATATATATGATTCGATATTAGAACACAAAGTCATGTTAGATA